CGCCTGGCCGCCTTCGAGGCTGCCCGCTCGGGCGCGCGCTGGGCCACCAGCAGCCTGGAGAAGGCGGGCGACCGGCAGTTTGTGCTGTCCTCGGCCCGGGTGCCGCTGCCTGGTAGCCCCAAGGTGGTGGCGCTGGCTGTGGCGGCGCAGAAGCTGCCGAGCCGCGTGCAGGTGGCGCCCCGGTCACACTTCGAGGAGACGCTGCTGTCGGTGGTGCATGTGTCTGAGCCCCTTGAGCCCTCGCGGCTGGATGAGGCCCTGAGCCAGCTCTGGGAGGCGGCTAAGAAGGAGATGCTGGAGGTGATGGAGGTGGGTGCGGATGAGCTGCTCCGGGAGCACCGGCAGACTTGGGCCGACCTCTTCATCTCAGGTGAGGGGGAGTTGGAGGCCGCCACTATTGCCTTTGAGTCCCGCCACACTAGAGAGACTTCAACAGCACTTGCTCTTTGCTCTTCGCTCTTTTGGGAGACCTTTCATTGACTGATCTTCTTAATACAGTTGTTTGTTTATATTAACAGGGTAAGAATCAGGTCTGGAAATCTGGTAGACTGAGGCTAGTCAGTGCCTAAAGAGATTTAGTAAATCACATCCCACGAACTGTCAGAAGGCCTGAAAAATCTGGCGGCACTAACAAGTTTATCACTGATAGAAGTATATTCACAGGATGCAAGGCAACAAAAATTCTAGTTACTAGAGAGACTTCAGCAACACTTGCTCTTAACTTATAACTCCTGGTTTCTCCAGGAACAAGTTAATAGTCCTGAACTTGTTACAGTCCAGGTAGGGTTGGGTAACAAGTGAGTCACATAACTGTGAACCATCTGTGATGTCCACCCCTGTTATATGAGTGTATGCTGCTAATGGGAGCTTGTGTCAGAGCTTCACAGAATTTCCATCTTGGCTCAGAATCTCTCTGGGATGGAACTTGATGCAAAGGCTCTATGTAATATTTATTTTTATAAATAGACTGCTTCAGTCTCCCAAAATACAGCAGGAAGTGATTTCTTTCCTCACATTTTCCATTGACTTTAGCATTTGAAAGCAAAATGGAAAATACTGGTTGGGAGCTGCTGAACAGTGGCAGCCAATCAGAAGCTTCCAGACCACAGTTTCTGTTCCTTTAAACACCCCACCAACACATCTGTGTAGTTGCTGACAGGACCTGGTATCTGCAAGTCTGAACAGCTTTGGTCCCTTCTCCTATTTAACACTTACAGTCAAACCCATCTGTCCTGCTCACTGACATTCTGTATTCTGTGTTGCAGGGATCGAAATGAGAAAGATCACGGATTCCCGGACGCCATCCAGTGAGACAGTCAACATGACTCTCTATTATGTTCTGTCCTGCATGCCAGCTCCTCTGTTGGACCCACTCATTAGTGGTGAAGACAGGGAAAAAATGGAAGCCAGCTTGAACTATGCCGACCACTGCTTCAGTGGCCATGCAACTATGCATGCAGAGAACTTGTGGCCAGAGACTCTGACCAGTGTTCCCCAGATCCTGCAGCTTTTGGACTTGTGGAAACTGACACTTCAGAAACGAGGATGCAAGGGCCTTGTGGCAGCTGGGGTCCATGGGCTCATGCAAGGGATGGTGCTTAGCTTTGGGGGCTTGCAGTTCACTGAAAACCATCTCCAGTTCCAAGCTGACCCTGATGTGCTTCACAACAGCTACTCCCTGCGTGGGATCCATTACAACAAGGACCTGATCAACCTGGCAGTGCTGCTTGATCCAGAAGGCAAACCCTTCCTGCATGTGTCAGTGAAGTTCCAGGACAAGCCTGTTAAGCTATATGCGTGTGAAGCAGGCTGCCTGAACGAGCCTGTGGAGCTGACCTCTGAGCTGCGGGGTCACACCTTCCCTGTCATGGTGACTCAGCCTCTCACCCCATTGCTTTACATCTCTACAGATTTGACCCACTTGCAGGACCTGCGACACACGCTCCATCTCAAAGCCATTTTAGCCCATGAAGAGCACATGGCCAAGCAGTACCCAGGCTTGCCCTTCCTGTTCTGGTTCAGTGTGGCCTCTTTAATCACGCTCTTCCATCTGTTTCTGTTCAAACTCATCTACAATGAGTACTGTGGGCCAGGAGCCAAGCCACTCTTCAGGAGTAAGGTATAAACCTGCCACTTTTGGCTGCCAGTGGTTCTCTTGAGAGTCATTTCATCAACTTGGTCTTCTGTCTGCTATGCCTAGGAAGGTTCTTGGGACACTGCAGGGGCTTTGAAGGTCTTGCAGGAGGGGAGCTGTGTGTGGATGCAAAGGGTAGCTTTCTTCCTGCAAGTTGGGAGGAGGAGGATGACAATGTGGGGAGTGGAGTGGAGTGGCATGGCAGGACTGGCCCGGCCCAAGCATTAACACCATTAAAAATCCATTGTTAAATCTCTCTTAGGGCATTTGGAGGGCTGCAGCTGAAGGCAGATTTAGCTTCTGGCTCTCTTCCACCACATCACCTTGAAAGCTTGTTTTTTGCCACTGGCAATTCAGTTGGGACAGCAGCACCAGATTGTGCTCATCCTACTGCACGGAAAGGGCTTGTACACTTGCCTGCCACATGAATGTGAGAGTTTTGTAATATGGAGATGCACACATGGGAGTGAGTATTCCCATCCAACTGGGCCAGATGCTTAGTAGTTGGGAGTGTGGATAAATATTTATAACATGCATTCACTGCAAGCTTTGCTGAATGTCACTTTGGCTGGCACTGCTTTAGTGAAGTGCCAATGTAGTGTTGGTTTCTGCTGTTGAGAGAAGCTACACCACAGCTCTGAAAGGGATAATGATCACTCATGCCAGGTACGGATTTGGACCCAATCCTACTCTGCATCTTCCAGCTTTTGAGGTGTGTTGGGTTTTTTTTGTTTTTTTTCTTTTAAAGTGGGTTTCTTGGCATAGCAAAGCACAGTGGAGAAAGGGGGGCAGAGCACAGAGCATAAATTAGCAAACAGATTTTCTTCCACTCAGCATCAACATTTCTCAGTTGCTTCTTGCTGATATGGAGGGGAAAATGAAAACTTCAGCTGACTTTGCTGCAGGAGCCAATTATGTTGTTTGCACCTGCTGCTGCTTAGGATCAAATGTAAGAGTTAAAAAGAAAAAAAAAATCCATGCTTTATTTAATCAGTCACCAAATAAAGAAACATGCTCAGGGGGTCATGTCCTGGCTTCAGGCTGTCCTGCTTTCCCCAGTCAAAAGCAGAGAGACAAGGGGGTGCTAGGGCTGGACTTAGTTCAGCATCTGGCTCTTCAGAGGGGGTTCTAGATGGGTCTGCAAGGAAGTTCATATACTCAAAGGCATGGGAGTCTCTGGCTTTCTGACTGTTGTTGAGATTAGACACAAGGCCTGATTCTTAGCGGTGCTGAACACTTGCAACCCTTTGAAGTGAGGTTGAAAGTGCTCTAGCTGCATTTCACTCTCTGGAGTTGAGCCCAATAGGAAGATGTAGATGAACTGTACAGATCAAAGACATCTGCAGACAGTTACCTCTTTTCCAGAAACCACCCTATGAGCATGACCAAAATGTAAATGTGAGGGGAGACGTGGTCAGGAAGTAACTTGCGTACTGCTGCATTCTGGAAGCCTGAATTCTCTCTCATGACCCTTTTCTCTGGGTCCTCTTTGCCTTTGCTATTGAATAAGTAACAAGACTTTCCTTCTGCCTTTTACCTACCAGACTGCATTAATCATTACAGATTTATCAGCCCTGATGCTGTCCACTGCATTACTCTGAAACCACACAGCCAGACTTGGAGCCAGCTAAGCACCTGCTTCTTGCAGTGATGCCCTTTGCAATGCAAGGAGGACAGTAATATCCTTTGTTGGAGTGCCCTAAAATAAAGATGATGCAGAGCCTCTGCTGTCTTAACATCAGCTCAGTGTGGAGGCAGGGGCAAAGTGAAATATGTTCCTGTAGCTGTAAGCAAGACTGGTGAAATAACACCTTGTTTTATTAATTGAACAGGAAGATCCCAGTGTCTGAATGCGCAAACTAACAGTCTTGCTTTCAGCCTCCATTTGCAAAAGACTGCTAACATCTGACAGTTCTGCAGCTGGGAACAAGGACCTTTTGAAAGCAACAATCCTTTTGTGCCTTGTTTAGAGGGGAACTGGGGACTTGGAAAGTGAGGTTTTTCAAGAGTTTACACTAGAAATTCAAGTCACTGGGTTGTCTCTTTTTTTCCCCATGTAAGCTATTCAGTTCTGTAAGACTGTTCATACTTGAAAATATACAGAGTTCTTTGATAATTTGATTTTGATTTTATTTTTTTAAAATTTTAACAGGAAAATAAAGAATGAGAATTCCCTTCCAAGAGTTACCTAGGTTGCTCTGTAGTGTCACTTCTTTTCTGGAATGCTTTTTTTTTAATTTATTGGGTGGGGATGGGAATGGGACATGGTGTTTGCATCTAATTTTGATAGCAAGTAGATACAGTTTAACTGAGTTAAGTGCTGGTAACAGGTTTTTTAGCATTCATGAGGGTAGAGTGCAAAATCAATATGTGGTTTGAAGTCTGGTAATGCCAACCTATCAGTTTCCTACTCTGAACATCTTGAGACTGTATTGGTATGTTTTGGCTGTTAAGGAGGCATCCTACTTTCTAGTGATTTGAAAATTATTTGGTTTTAAAATACCAAAGCTGTTGTTTTTAAATAAATACTTTTCTGTCTACAGTAGTTGCCATGTTTTGTATTTTCCTTTGGTTAAAACAAGCAGCAGTGTTTGGAAACTTGGAGGTACAACCAGAACTAATTATGTTAGTGAACAGAGTTTGGATTCAAGAGGACCAGTAATGGAAGGAAAGAACAGCCATCGTGATCCAGCCTGTTCTAGGTGAATGCAGTATACAGTGTCCTATAATAAGAATTACCAGTTTTCTCTGACTCCTGCGTACAAGTGACTTTTTGGACACACACAGTAGCTAATCTGAAAATCCCATTCCCAAGCAGTGGGATTTATCTTGAGCCATATCCATACAGGATAACAGGGGAAATGGATCTTATTTTATTACAAACACGTTTTCCCTAGTAACCTGCAGGACAAATAGACAAGGGGCAGGTTAATAGCATCATTAAGTGCCCAGAACAGAATACAGAGAAAAACAGGATTTGTGGGCTGTAAACTAGCTACAGGCCAGGGATTAGTGTTTCAGAAAATCTGATAGGACGTGTCTGGAACATCAGTAATGGATTGTCCCTTAAGTACTAGCAACATAAATCATGAAGCCATTCCTTTCCCTAATACCTTACAATCAAAATGATGTCTCCTGTTAGTAAACAGTCACATGCATTAACTCAGGCAAAGGAAATGCATATCATAGCCCTTGCCTAGGTCTTTAAAACAGCCAGCTACCATATCAAATCACACTAAATCCCAGGTCTGAGAGTCCAAGGTACAGGTATTCCTCACTTAACATTGTCCTGGTTAACATTTCGTTATGTCACTGATCTATTAGAGAACATACCTTTTTAAAGTCGTGAAATATTTTATTATAATGTTTGGCCACCGCCTGCTAGTAGGTAGCCATCCCTGCAGTTTTGACCCTGCTGTGGCTTAACACATACATGTGACATGAGTTTTGCTTTCAGGACTTTGAGGTGCAGTTTACCAGAAACCCCTGCACCTATCACCTTGAAAAGTGGAACATATCATGCTCTCAGTAGAGGCTACCATCCCTGCAAGCTTCATTTGACTCAGCCACAAGACAACAAAGTTATAGATATTTCATTGATTCCCCGTTATACCCTGTGGCCAAATCTCTGCATCACCGAATCTTTTCCGAATCTATTCGGAAGCTCTGAATCGATTCAGAAAGCCTAAAGCTTCCAGTGATTCAGTTCAGATTCATAGATTCAGCCTCTGAATCATCTCTGAATCATGATCCGAAGCTTTGCACAGCCCTAGTAACTGCTGTGACGTAACTGGATTCATTTAAAGTCGCATCTTTCAAGAATGTAGCTACGATGTTAAGTGAGGAGTAGCTATACAAGGAAATGCAGTGGAACAATTGAAAAATGAGTGTTAGAAAAATCAAGTGGCTAAAGCAAGAATTGTGGGCCCTCTGCTCTCTTGCTGAAAAATTGAGCAGCTTGCTTCCACCTCCCCACAGTTGCCTAAGAGACCATGGGATTTTGTACAGCTCTTTGAACTGAGCTCAGCACCCTAATTGCCAATGAGTTCTGTGCTGTATAAGAAACAAACATGAAGCTGTTTTTTCCCCCCTAATAGCTTACAATCAAAAGGACAAACCCTGTTAGTAAATGCTCACATGAATGAACGTAGTGAAAATTAAATCCATTACACATTTGCCAGTATACCAAAGCTTCAAAAGGTATTCCTCCTGGACAAATAAATTACCTTAGGAAGTCCAGACTAAGATGAAAGAGAAGCTTTACTGTCTCCATTCACTGAGACTATCCAAATGATTTTTCCATGCTGCTCTCTGAAAATAAGTCAGAAGTTGTTGCTGCTGAATCTACAGCTACTTTTCCTCCTCCCCCCACCGCTGGAAAGCAACCTTTTGGCAAATATGCTGCAAAATGGCCCTGTGCCGCCCTCAAGTGCCATTCTGATTCCCTTTCCCTGCCTGATCTGCTGCTCCACTCCCTCCCACAGCTTGCCGTGCCACACAGAAACTGCCACTTGGCCATCCATGCTGCACAGCACCACTTCAGCAAAGTGTGTCCTGGGAAGCTTCCAAGAGTGGCTGCATGGCCCGAACACTAGGCTGGCCATAGGGACGCGAGTTATATTCTGGTTGCCATCTCATTGAGACATGCCCAGACTTCCAGTCTCTCAGTGCCTAGGTTTCCTCACCTATAAGCTGGATGTCAATTCTCACTAGAAGAGATTAAAAAATTGGGAAAAGTAATGAAATATCTACAAATTTGTTTTTAAATGCTGTACTACTCACCAAACCAGGCACTGGGGAAGTCCCTGTTCCCCCGAGCACTGCCAGGAGTGGCTGGGAATAAGAGTCACAAGCTGGCAGAGGGTAGATTCAGATTAGATATCAGGAGGTGCAACTTCACGGTCAGGGCAGCTAGGATCTGGAACCAACTTCCAAGAGAAGTGGTGCTGGCTCCTACCCTGGGGGTCTTTAAGAGGAGGCTAGATAGACACCTTGCTGGGGTCGTTTGACCCCAGTACTCTTTCCTGCCATGGCAGGGGGTCGGACTTGATCTGCTCAGGTCCCTTCCGACCCTAGAAACTATG